TAGAGTGTAAAAAGGACTAAGACTACGGTACGCACCTAATCGATATTCCGCAGTCCTCTTCTTCCAGCCACAAAGTCAGACGGCACGCTGTCGAATGTGGCCTACTGCTATTTCTCTTTCTACAATCTGGCGGTGAATTGTATGAGAGCACACCCCGCCGCGCCATCGTGCTGCAGCAAGCTTCCAGCAGTAGTTTCTTATTTCAATTATTGATAAAATCGTCGACTAGACACTCACGACTTTATTCGTTGGAAAGTGCAAGTTCGGGGAAAAAACTTGCAAGCAAACCGGAAGATCTTTGATTTAAAGGATAGATGATAAAGCTTACTTCTTGTGCCAAACTATCCATAACAATTTACATAGGATTAACTGACTGCGAAATAAAAACCTTCGATTCGCACGTGACTTCCATACTACTATAAGAAGAAAATTCAACGGTGGAGTTAGGAATGCATACTGATTAAAAAATATTTTCGTGAACACGAACCAAACGGGACATTAAAAGACGTAGCGCTTTTCCTTGCCCTTTTATGTGTCACCTCTCCGATGTCCGCAGCAGCGGCAACAGTGGCGAGGTGACGGTAGTGGCGGTAGCCGTCGGCTGTGCAACAGCGCAACTCGATCTTTTCGAAGCAATGACCTTCATTCCCGTTTCTCAGTAAAGATTATTGAAAAAAAAACTTACATAGGTGTTACTGTAGACATCCTGGTAGAGCATTCTGGCAAGTCCAGGGTGCCAGACGGGTGCCACTAACCATAAGAACGCACAAAAAGCCGGTTAGCAGTAGTGGGTAACGAGAGAGTGAGATGAACGCGGAGACTGCGGGCATCGCAAGGGCGAACGGGCCAGGACGCAGAGGATGGAGGAAAGTGATAACAAACAGAGTTCGAGCAGGACAAACCGCTGCTGCACTCCTACACACGGATTATGATCCTGCACTCGGTAATACCCCGTTCACAGCGCAGGGCTATGCATAGTTGTTGCTGCACGAGTCCACCCGTGTAACTAAAGTAGCACAAAGTTTTGAACCTAGTGCGCGCTGTCTTTCGCATGGAACAACTTTTCGATGTTGTTCGCGCAGATGTTCTGCTGAGCGTTTTTGCCCGGCTGGAAGTGCGAGACATGGCATATGCAGAGAACGCAATCGCTTTCGCTCCTTCCTCATCTCATGCGTAAAAAGTGCGGAACAGAGAGTTCGACCAAATCGATTTTGAGGTGTTTTCGAGGAGAGGCATAAAGCGAGCGAGCGGAGAGAAGCACCGTTGCATGGACGGCGCCCGACGGCGACGCCGACGTCCGTTATGGCGGCACGCTCCCGTTCCCATAAAGTGCAACGTCCTGCTCCGTCATCCACAACGAAAACAACTACGCCATTCTACACCAATTTAGAAGCAGATCACGTAGGAGCACTCAAATGACGCATAGTACAAAGTGGAAAGAGCAAGTAAGGAATTAAGTTACGTGAGTATCGACGGAAAGGCGCGATGCAATAGAGCAACAACGAAATAACCTGTTAGCCTTGATTTCAATTTGCATAATAGAAACATATGAAGTGAAACTAAGTCTGCTACGTCGGTAGTGTGGTGTTAAACGTCTTCTGTTTTCATAACCATTACCTATGATACACTTTGAATTTTGTCCCTAATCAACTTTGCGAAAAAATGTGCGAAACCTCTCTAATCCCTGTCTTTTGCTGCTTCAGAGAGATCAACAGTCCACAATAATTCTTTGAGTG